TCCCTCCCCCCTCCTGCCTCCCCCTCCTCCGCCAGTCCGGGGTGCTCGGTCACCCCATCTCCCCAGGGACCAGGTACACCCGGGCACAGCGTTTTGGGGGTTGCCCTCCTCCCACGCGGTGACCAGGTCCCCCACCCCCATCCCGGCTGGGACAGACGTGTCCCCCCGCCCCCTCTCCCCCCAAAAAAGTTGAGGTCTGTCGGGAAGCAGCTGAGCAATCTTAGTTTCGAATTGAGAGTCGGGGAGAGAACTGTTCGCAGCAGAGGCAGCGGTTCTCAACCTGTGGGTCGAGAACCTTTCACAGGGGTCGCCTAAGACCATCCCGCATATCAGATATTTACATTAGGATTCACAACAGTAGCAATGTTACAGTTATGAAGTAGCAACGAGAATAATTTTATGGTTGGGTCACAACATGAGGAACTGTATTTAAAGGGCCAGAAGGTTGAGAACCGCTGCTAGGGGATGAGCGCGGTCTGAAAGCGGAAGGCTAGGGCAGTTCCATGTGAAAGTTAAAAGGATTTTCCAACGGAAAGAGGTGGTCATTGTCCCGCCCCCGCTTGCAAGGCACAAAACACATATTCGGTGGAGCCCGAAGGAATTACAGAAAGGAAGCTGAGGACTTTGGGAGAGCGGGTACAGAGGGACTAACAGCTAGCTGGTCCTGTGAAGCCGCCAGCACAGGACGGGAGCCCAGGGAGCATCTGTGGCCTCCTTCCTCCCCCTCCCCCGACCCCACCCCACCCCACCCCTCCCTGTCTCCAATTACTAGTATAAATTGGGAAAACCCAGGTCCAGTGTGGATGGCTTACGCACAATCACACAGCGGACTCTTGGCAGACTCAGGTCTAGTGGCCCTCAACTCCAATTTCTGGGCATGTAAATAACGTTTTACAAACATCCTTTGTGAGCTAAGAAATTCAGCATGATCAGGATTGATATGCTCAGTCTTCATGTACTCTTCCCCAGGTGCTGGCCAGCCTGCCTTCCCAGGCCAGCAGCAGTGCAGCTCGGGAAGGACTCTTGGAAGCCCCAGTTACTTGGACTATAAACCCTGAGTCAATAGGGTTTAGGTAAGTGGGAGGGAGGATGGGCACCTTGGGTGTGGAAAGACCTTGAGCTGAGGAGGTGCTAGTCTGCCAGCCATCACAGGTGTTTAGCTGGCCTATGCAGTGGCGGGGATGGGCCCAGTAAAGGCTTTGGACTTGAGTCCTAGAACTTGATGCTAAGGCAGCAGGGTACAGTGGAGCACTGGAAATGCGCCTGCAGGAGAACCAGCACTGGACCAGGATTAGATTCATGGCAGGTATCTTTGTGAAGCTCCTAGGACTCTAGAAGGCAATCATTTAGAAGAAAAACAAAATTTAAATGTTGCTATTGAAAGGAAGGTTGTGAGAAGGAAGTATTCTAGTTGAGGAAGAGAAAAATCTTTTCTCTGGTTGTATATGAATAATACAAATAGTGCTTATGATGTGCTAAGCACTGGTCTAAGTGCTTAACAAAACAATGTATTTATTTACTCCTCAGAACAAACCCAGGCAATTGTTACTATTTTTATCACCATTTTAGAGATGTAGAGGCTGAGGCACAAAGAGATTGCCCAGTAAGTAGGTCTGTGCTGAGGTGAGTGGCCTGGAAGCAGCAGGTTCCGGTCCCAGTGCCTCTACTTGCGGGTTGTGTTAATTTATCTTCTCTGAGCCCCAGTGTTTTTTGTTTGTTTTGTTTTTCTGTCTCTTAAAAAAGTTAATCCTCACCAGAGGACATTTTTCCATTGATTTTTAGAAAGAGTGGAAGGGAGGGAGAGAGACAGAGAGAGAGAAACATCCATGTGAGAGAGGTATCTCGATTGGTTTCCTCCCACAGGCGCCTGACTGGGGTCATGTGAGAGAGGTATCTCGATTGGTTTCCTCCCGCAGGCGCCTGACTGGGGCCGGGGGTCAAGCCTGCAACCAAGGAACATGCCCTTGACTATCATTGAAACCGAGACCCTTCTAACCACTGGGCCAAACCATCTAGGGCAATCCCCAGTTTTCTTATCTGTGAAATGGGCACTGTAATCTTGTCTGAAACTGAGAACACAGAATGAGCAGGTGCCTTGTGAACTGTGCATTGTAATGGGAAGTATTGTTTAAGTAGGAGTGGGGAGAAGATCCACCAGCAGCTGGCCCAGCTTGGGGGCCTGGACGCCATAGATGTGCAGAGGTGGAGAGTCAGCGATGACACGGTGATGCACCTGGCCACGGCAGACGCGCTTGTGGAAGCCGGGAAAGTCTCAGACTTGGGTCGACTGTACTCCCTCCTTGCTAAGCATTACCAAGACTGCATGGGAGACATGGATGGCCGGGCACCAGGTGAGGGCAGCCAGTGGAGGTCCTGGGCAAGTGGAGAATAAAACAGGCCCAAGGAAGTCATTGCAGTGTTGACACTGAGATTTACATACCAAGGAGACAGTAGTTTTTATAATTGTGATTAAAAAATAGGCACCGCCTAAATGTCCCATAATTTATTTAATTGTGACGATACATTTGTAGCCACTTAAATTATACAGATAAATATTTTCTGGTATGGAAGGATGTTATATATTAAGTGAAAGATAAATAGGTTACAAAACCGGATGTATCTTAAAAACCCACTGGTAATAAAGGATACATGTATATCTCTTGGGAGAAGTCTGGAAGAACATACACAAAGATATTCCTAATTATATCTGTGTAATGGGCGTATTTATAGTTTCTTATTTTCTTTTTGCGCATTTGTATTTTCTAAGTTTTCTGTAATGAACAAATATAAAGAAAACATTTTTTTTTCTTTTTAAAGAAAATGGAAAGTGTCTTGCAGAGACTGCTTTTCTGTTTCCAGGTTTGTTCACAAGTGTTCTTGCCCGTTTGGGACATTGTTGCAGTCACTTGGGTCACCAGGTGGTTTGAATCGCCTTTCCCTAGCCCATCTGACCTACCTCTCCTCCTGTGTTGGTCAGCTTGAGCTGCCATCACAAACTGCCACAGACTGGTGGCTTAAAGAACTTTTATTTCTCACTGTTTCAGAGGCTCGAAGTCTGAGGTCAAGGTGTCAGCAAGTTTGGTTTCTTCTGAGGCCTTTCTCTTTGGCTTGCAGACGACCTCCTTATATCTGTGTCCTCTTTCACGGTGCACATCCCTGGTGTCTCTGTGTGTGAGCAGATTTCTTCTTATTCTCATCAGATTGCATTAGGGCCCACTCTGATGTTCTCATTTCAACTGCCTCATCTCTTTCAAGGTCCAGTCTCTTAATACAGCCACATTTTGAGGTACCAGGGGTTATGGCTTTTACATAGGAATTTTAGAGGACACAATTCAGCTTATGAGCTGATGAGAAGTGCCTCCTGATGAAAATGCTCCCCCT